TGAGAATATTGGCTGAATGGACAAATCACTCGACTTTAGGCAGTGTTGATGAAAAGCTGTTACACCTTTTTATAAAATTTTCCGACAGCAAGTCATATGGATTAATATGTGAAGCATGCACATCTATTGATATATGTGTGCGTGCAGATGTATAATTACATCACTCCTCTATATAAATCTATTGAAATAAAGGCACACATGGATATTGAACCTTTGTTAAGAGTGACAAAAGAGGAAACAGCTTGTTTCTGGGGTGGATAAGTAAGGTAGCGTTGCAGTACAAGGTTTTGTCCCAGTTCCCATTCACCAATCCTGTGACCTCTTCTCCATCAACTCGTATGTCAATTATCTTTTAATGATATCTGGTAGGAGACAGCACTAGATGTAAATGTATGCCTTTACTTAAAGGTCTGGATATAAAGCTGCCCGAGAATAAATTTGAACCACATTTCGCCGGTTCTATTTTCAGGACTGGTGGAAAACACATGTGCAAGCACATACACGCAACCAGGTGCGTGCGTGTGTGTGTATGCAATATATTTGTGTGTGTGTGTGAGATGTGTTTATGTAAGCGCAATGCATGCAGTGATTTTCTAAGACCGCCTTAGATGTGGCACAAGGCCGAAAGTATGGGCACCCAGTGAGGATCAAACTCACTACTCAGCTTGTCTTTCTAGATCAATTACGACTTTCTAACCATTACACCACGTCGAGGTGCCCAAAGCGCAATGCATGTATATGCGTAATTCATGTGTATGTGTGTATGTGTGTAATATATGTGTGCATAATGTTTGTGCTTGCGTGCAATGTGCGTAACACACACACACACGGTAAAAAAGGTTTTCTGTTCATTTAAGAAGGTATTTCCTACAAATTATGTCTGTTCATTTTGTCAGATTATAAGTGAATCAGACTGAAAACCTATCAGTACACACTAGGTTTTATGTGTATCTTCATTATATATATATATATATATATATATATATATCACAGTGGGGCAAAATATATTATAACAATAAAAACTTGAGTCAAGGACACGAAAACTACAGTAGCATAATGTACAATTTAAAATAAAAATACAGGGCAACATATAAAATATAAAAAAACATTTAATTTGGCAGTTTCATATGCACACGTGACTTTGCGGTGGTACTACAATCTTCAGTCGGTGAAAAATGGGAATGGTATTTCTGAAAATTCAGAATATATATATATATATATATATATATATATATATATATATATAGTGTGTGTGTCCACTTTTATATTTGCATACGCTCTATCCTTGATATTGAACATTTTAACCATAAATATAGCATGCCAAACTACTATATTTTATCATATATATATATATATATATATATATATATATATATTTGTGTGTGTATGTATAAATTGCTGATCATCCTGGCATGTGTAGCAAACATTACACAAAGGTTTTTCTAGAATAATTTGGGGTCGAATATAACATCAAACAGCTAAGGACAAATTTTATATTTTTATTAATTCACACACACACACACATATATATATATATATATATATATTGCAAATATATTTTGCATGCATCCAAATATTAAAATCTACATAACTGCTTACTGGTAAACATACGTACATGCCGCCCCTTTTTCCGATCTTTTTGTATATATATATATATATATATATATATATATATATATATATATATATATATATATATATATATAGGCAATGTATTGGATTCGTGAGTGTAGATGGTGAGATTTCTTTCCATCACATTAAAGCAAACTTGATTTATGTAAGCTTTCTTTATAAGTTGGCTATATTTTCTAATAAATCTCCTTGTCCGCTATTCTGAGCAAAGCGGCCAAGCTTACATAAACGGAAACATTTAGTTTGGAAGGGCCACGCGTTGCTTGATGGAGGGAGCTAGTTGTCAGAAGTGGAAAAAATACTTCGATATTTTCTTTCAGTTCGATAAGTATGACAAATTTCAAGCTTAAAGGTAAAGATATAAAACGGCCCAAACTAACGTGTTTAACAGAAAATAAAAATAGTTTGTTATATTTTCCACAGAAATATTTATAAACACATGGAAATATCAAACTTTTTTTTATATTGGATTTTACAATAAAAACGAATGAATGCTAGAAAATTGTATATAGCGTCCATTTTCTTCACAAAAAGGATTTTCTTGCCATATAAATCATTCTTGGCGCATAATTCTAAATAGAGAACCTTTATGGAGAATTGATTACCGACGACCCGCGCTTCAGATGAGTGAATATTTCAACCATATTAAATGTGAATCTATTTTTACACTGTTGAAAATATTACAAGGGAATTTACTTGAAGTTAGAATAGACTGTCACACAAATGTTAGCTTTTGACTGTCTTGAAAATGAGTATTTTTATCTTCCAATGGTACTGAAAATCTTGATGGAGGATCAAGTGAACAATTGATTGGTATATCGGATTTCTTTCACTCGCAAAATCACTAACGATGTGTACACTGGGAAGGCCAAATTACGTTGGCCCAATGTACTCGAAATTAAAAGATGTCCTTTTTAATGTCAGTGATATTTTAAATGCGTTTTTCAAGCAGAAACTAAAAAGAATGACGACTAAAACAGAATGTAATGAAGTAAATGCCAAAATTTGTTTTTTTTCTTGACTGTTCCATGTCTCTTCATAACTTCCTGCATTTTGCTGCTTTCAAAAATACTTCCTCGCTTATGACAACTTGTGAACTTAATGGAAGTTCTTCCTCCATTCATTCGTTGAAAGCTGTTATATATTTTTTCCGCTACTTTACTCGGCTTCTCTTGCTCTTGATATCCTTTGAGTGTTAAATTCACGAAGCCTTTTTTCTAGGGTGTCTTCGTAATTACAGTTGTGTATTTCTGATTGTTTACGTGGATGTGCGTCTGGTGTAATGGATTGTGGCTCGGAATGAAAAATCAGAAAGCCTTGTTCGAATTCCAGTCGAATTTGTTACTTCCACATATGCGCAAATAATCTTGGGAAATGTATGAATGCGTCTATTTTTCTTCCATCTATGGGTTAAATAGTAGGAAAATCAAAGATTTTAATGCAGTATTCACTTACAAAAAAAAAAGAATTATTTCTAAAATCTGAAATGTTTCATTCATTAAGTAACCGGCAAAGGTTTGATGAACCGTAAAAACAAATCAGTTCTGAGTTTCAACAACAATTTATTTGCAGTTCCTTTATCGTAAAAATTTCATCGTTTCTCACATTATCTATGAAAGAGGCAGACAAATAAGAGTAGATAACCGCGGATGTTTTTGTACTTTTCCTCTTTTTTTGGCGGGAGGGGTATGAAGGAGTAGTTCGATTTTGTACAAAAAAATGAAATTTAAAGTACGCGACAGCTGCACAACCAATTTGGATATTTTTCTAGATGAAAATAGATACAGCCAAATTGAATCGATTTACTTTTTTTTTTTTTATTATTATTATCTTTCCATAGTTGCGGTGTTATGTGATTTGCTTGTCTTGCTAACTGTCCTATGGTGAATAGCGTGCTTCAGTACAAAATAGTACCAATACGATTCCCAGCTGTTATTTCGTGTGCCTATTTTCAAAGCTATGTCAAAATTCATGCCTATACTCAAGTAAGTAACGTCTCTCCCTTTGCCAAAACATCCGACTCGCGTCTCGCCACCCATTCACGCAAGCTCGTCAGGTAGGTGGCCTGCTAACTTCTTCTCTCTTGCTTTGGATATGCCCTTTGAGTACAAAGCTTTCCAAGCCCTGCATCGTAAATATGTCCAAAAATATTCACCTATTTCTTTCTCATTCTAAATATTCATTTTCTTACCATTTTCTTTAAGACTTCTTCCTTGCTTATTCGCTCCGTCCATGGAATTCTCAGTATCATTCTGCAGAGCATCATTTCCGCTGCCTAAAGTTTTCTCCTCATCTGTGGGCAGATTGTCTAGAATTCACTGCCATACTAGTGTATTGATATGACGTGGCACTCCTTCTTTTGTTTCTAACGAAATCTTTCTATTCTTAAATAATCTTAGATGACTATATGAGTGTATGTTAAGTTTCGGGCCAACGTCATTCCTGGAAACGTGGTAGTAGCACCTGTTAGGATCCAAGCTATGGACAAATAGTTAACCCCAATCTGTCAAAACATTATGAAAGTATAAAAATTTGATAGTAATAAAAACTACCAGAAATACATTTAAAAAAATAACATCATTTCATTTTAGGAGAAAAAGTTATCAGTAATATATTTTTCGTAAAAGAAATTACTAATGGTCACAGGAAAAATAAATTTCGTCATTAAATGAACCAGTGGGTTGATATGCCGTAAAACAAACCAAACTATTCCTGGAAATAGTTGTAGTCAGTTATAGGTAAAAAGTATTTTTCTGATTTGCTATGATATTCTCAACACTAGTCGATCGAAGCACATCTCCGTCTTTTCAATATTTTCGAAATAAAAAACGGGATTCTGAATAATGGTTTTTCAAAGTAGGTGAACGTTCCCCATTTGGATATTTGACGTGCTACGACCTTCTTAAGACGTATTTCCTTCATTAGGCTTTGTGTCAGATTAAGTTAAACTTTGTAAATATATATTAAGCCCTCAGCGTGACTGACACGTATTTCATCATGGGTGTCAGATGTCAGTATTCAAGTTGCAGTAAAAGCCAGGTTTTTCAATAGTAATTTTTCAAAGCAAGCAAGCTTTTCTCATTTAAGAGATTAGCACGAGACCATTTTCTTTCACCATTTCCTCTCATTAGCCTCTGCCCCTGACTGCACCTGCTTTGTAAATATTGATATGCCACCGTGGTGAAGTAGTTGCGTATTTCACAACCGAGCGAGACGTCGGTGTTCGAACCCAGACAAGAACAACGTTTATCAAAAGCTTAATCTCAAAAACTTAAGTAACACAATCTTCTCATGTTTCTCATTATTTAAAGTAACATTAGACTGATATCAGCTTGTGTGTCCATTTCTTTTTATACTAAAGTGTGTCTTACGGCCGCATCAAATCGAAACACCGGTTCCAGTACGATCACTGAAGTTAAGTAACGTCGAGCCTGATCAGTAACTATATGGGTGACCACTTGGGAATACCTGGTGCAGTAAACATGGATGTGCAGGTGGTGTAATGCATAACGGCGAGAAATATTTAATTGAGAAATAGTTTGTCATATTCACTTACACGCAAATACTTTTAGGAAAGGAATGAAACCACATTTTCCCTCACTAGCTATTCGTTAATTACTAAGACTTTTTATCATTAAACTATCATTATCTCAAAAAAATACAATCTAAAAATACTTCTAACTTTAAATAACCTGCAAAGGTTTGAGAAAGCGTAGAAAATGTATGAATCAATCAATCAATCAATATACTAAATTTCACTTAGTAGACGGCTCGAGAGTCGGTCAAGTAAAATGGTTATTCTTAAAATGGTTATGATTAGCGAGGTATGTAATATAAATGAAAGAGGGTGTGCTATAAAATGGACATTTTGAGAATAAAAAGGATAGACAACGATTTACCCTTGACATATGTTAACATTTTAATTTTAAGGATTGATACACGCAAAGTTTGTTCCACAAAATAGCTGTTCTTTGAGTAAGTGAAGGTTTCTCCTTAGATGTGGGGTACAGAGGAAATGAGGATGATTAGACTCTTGGGATGTAGCATGGTGATTCTTAGGCTTAAACGTCTAAATTAGTGGAAGTAAAGAATAGAGGTTTAGAAAATCAAGAATCTCTAGTAATAGGACTTAAGATAATCCTTCCCAAAACAGAAACTATGATCTGGAAATGTAATGAAAGCAGCAATGACACATACAATGAATCCATCATTAAAGTTCAATTATCGGTAATTAGTAAGTATTAAACACATCAGATGCCTCGGCGTATGGATCAGTTATAATAAAGTTATAGAAAATAAGGACATTTGACATAGATGTAGTTTTCCCAACACCACAAATTGCTACAAAACCAAAACCTCAAATTGAAAACTCTCGTCATGTTCTTAAATAATCTCATCAGATCGAGGCTTTCATATGACTATCATGCAGAGCGCCAAATCATGTCAGTTAAATACAACAGCTTTCTATGATCAGTGATGAAAAATGGCTTTGAGCGAGTGAAGCCTGGGGATCTTGGCAAGATTTTTTCTTCTAAGAACATTGAGGGCTGGCGCTACAGAATCGCAAACAAAGAACTGTACCAAATAACAGAAACCGCATCACTTGAGGATTGCCGACGTCAGTAACAACTATAATGGATAGCACATGTCACTCGCAGAGAAAATAATGACATAAGATGTTGAGAGATATTTCACATTACTTCAAATAAAAGGTGAGGAAGGACCGCCCACGCAATCAATACTGAAAACAGAGATAACAGTTACTGGAGTTGAAAAATCTGTTTTTCTGAAAAAAATATTTTAAGAGAGATTTTATAAATGTCAACCGAAAGTAGTACTGGCTATTCGGTCAATGAAAGCCGAATGTTTCCTTGGAGGGAAATGGCTAATAACATTACCATCTGCATCAGAATTCTTTGTTTTTGGGGGTTTTTTTCTGGAAATAAAGCATTTTTTAAAGAATATTTGTGCTATCTTTATTTTACTTGTCTTCATCACAGTTAACTGATCCGTCATTCTTTGGCCAGCAGTAAACGGTAACGATAAGAGATGAGACAAACTAATGACACGGCTCGATTAGGCATCTCTTATGAATCAAAAAGCTCCTTTTTTTTGTTTTTGTTTTTTTTTTTTTTTTTTTTTTTTTTTTTTTTGTTTGGTTATTTTGTTTTTTTTTTGTTGTTTTGTTTTTTTGTTGTTTTTTGTTTTCTTTTTGTTTTTTGTTTTTTTTGGGGGGGAGCGATAGAACACCAAATCTCATCAAATTCATTTGACAAAAATCCACGATACGCTTGAAAAGAAGCGGATAAATTTTAATTTGGAACTTTCGGCAACTACTTTACTTTATAGAATGCTTCTTGTGCATATTGTTTCCTTTCCGTCCCCAAAGATCCATTCTCATTTCGTATTTAGAAACTTACCGTGGCACAGAGATTAACAGTCTAATTTTTCACGCCATTTGCTAATATAATGAGTGCAATTTTCACTGATTACTGGTGACTCTGTAACCGTAACTGTCCATTTGATGTCCACATCATGCGATGATCAGTCAATGAGCATAGCGAGTTCTGAAGTAGAAACTGAGAAAAGAAGGTGTGGAGAACTTCAAACTTAATGAACATCGAAAATGAAAGAATACAGCGGATAAACTACTTGTTAAGTCAGAGCAAATAGTTTGAGAAACATGAAAGCAAAAGATAATCATAAAGTAACAAGTATTGCGGAGAGCAAGGAAATAGGATGTTATGGAGTATCATAATTTCTCATGTCCTGAAAGAGTACAGTATACAGTTATATATCTATGAGTTTAACTAAACCGAGTATCTGATTATTGTGGCTTTGAGCCAGGCCAACTTAAACAAATAAACAACACAGGCTATGTTTACTCAATATCTACAGGACTAACACGGCGATAGCAATAGTGGGATGCTTGAAAAGAGAGAGGAAAATTTATATTTTTCCACTCTTCAAAGCTCATGTTAAGCATTAGAATATCCGAATATACTAACTCCTTAATCCGATCAAAGAAACTACTAAGAAATTAATGCCAGAAAATGAGTCACAAGTGAAAATATTTTATATACAACACTAAAATATGCAAATGTCGTCAAAAATACAATAAAATATATGTTCGTAAGGATTTTTCTCACACGGAGAAATTTTAATACATATCAATAAAGCAAGGAATATGTGAAGGAACGAATAAATAGGTCTTACTTGCAATGTTCCTAGGAGAGACAAGGCTAGCTCCGATTATATCATTTGTTTTATTATTTAGGACGTATGGCGTACGTCGAATAGCCGCTGGCTACTATATCAGTCTCTTTTGAGTTCTAGGTATCAACTGAACTATCCACACCAACTGACTCTCATATAACCCACAAGGCCTCTTAGAACGTCGGTTATTTGGTCTTGTACAAAGGGAGATAATCGCCCTCTGCATCCTTATAGAAAAATGGTTTGCTGGATACTTGATAGCTTACTGAGTTCGGTTTTACATGACGTGCCGCTACTGTCATTGTACTGGACTACACAAACATTAGTAATTATCGTTTTTTGAATGATGTCAGTGGTAAGTGTACAAGTCCATATAAAGGCAGAGTTTCCGAGTGCAGAAATTCAGCTAAGTCATGACTGACACTGCTCACGATTTCCACCATTGTATTCATTTTATTGTGTACTTGAATGTTTTCGATACTAATGAATTGCCAAAAGCAATTGGTTGATAAATATCTTCGAACAGATTGTAAAAGAGTTTACACTCTCTTTAGAAACGAAAAAACAAAGCCCGCAACTGAATATGTCTTTTGAGGAAATTTCTTATTTTCTTTGTGTGTTTCCATCTCCGTACTGTCGAAGCGAGGCGAAATAGACCGGACCAGCTTTCCTAATTTCAAACAACCGAAAAGCGACTATTGCAAAACAAAGAAAAAAAAGCGACTGTTTTTTTTTTCTTTCCCGCGCTTTCATTCCCGTGAGGAATGACTTGCGGCTGCCTAAGACGATCGAATCGATACGAAATCAGATAATTGTCAGTCAGACAAAAGACTTCAATGTTCGCTATTTAATCATAACAGGCAACTGACCTTTTTGGAAAGCGGTTCGATCGATGTTTTAAAACACTCCCAACGGTCGCATCAATCACAGTCCGACTAATAGTAGCCGCATTCAGACTGATTTAGACCTTCTATTCCTGTTGGAACTTTTTCTCTTGTATTTATTGTTGTTTCTTTTTCATATATATATATATATATATATGTTATTATTATTTAAAAAAAATATATATATATATAATGTTATTATTATTAAAAAAAAAAAATATATATATAATGCTATTATTATTAAAAAAAAATATATATATATATATAATGTTATTATTATTAAAAACATATATATATATATATATATAATAATATTATTATTAAAAAAAATATATATATATATAATGCTATTATTATTAAAAAACATATATATATATATATAATGCTATTATTATTAAAAAAACATATATATATATATATATATATATATATATATATATATATTATATTATAAAAGATAACCACATATATATGTATATAGTTTATTTTTCTCTTTCTCCCTATAACATTTTTTTCAAAAGTCAATCTTTCTGAAACCGCATCCAACCTCTTCCCGACCCATGTATATTTGTAAGAAATATTTTACGTCACTTCTAAGGAAGATCTAAAGATGTTTATTTCATGTTGCGACCATATTACGAACATTTCTAAAGAGAACTTTTTTCTCAGACATTCAGTAAAGTCTTTTCTTTTTATCATTTTTTTTCTGAGGTAAAAACCCTCTAAAAATCTCCAATCTAAAATATGCCAATGTCTTTTATGAATTTATCGAAACATTGAACTTGTCATCTAAAATTGCCTCTTCATACCTCATAGAAATGTCAGTGATATTTCTACAACTTTATACGGCAAATAGTCTTCCTGTGCTAAAATCAATGGTAAGAGGTGTTAAAAGTTTTGTACCAAAGGATCAAGAAGTGAGGTAGGCATGTCGATTTGTAGAATTTTAAAAGCAGTTTCACAAATTTAGTGCGTATATTACTCAATCAGCAATTCACTCTCTATTTAGTTACGCTACCGTTTTTTTATACGTCTGTGAGTGGGTGCATTATGTAGAGGTAATTTTTTGTTAAATTAAATCGATCTTAAGCGATCAACTGAAATGCATAAAATAGTGGAATTATTGACAGATCATTGACACAGATCTCTGAAGTAAAAAAAAAAGCAAAATAAAAATTTGATTGCTTCTAAGAATTCTATACATGGAATTCAAATATATATTCACCTGTTGAAATGGTTAGACATAACCGTAAGTTCTATGCTAATAGTGTCTTCTATCACACTTCTTGTTTGTGGAAATCACTTCATGCTTTTTGATTTCCAGTCTATTTTGATCTTCAAAAATGTAATGTCAATCTGTATCCTCTGTTTTAATACTT